GACGCGGGGGTCACGAGTCATATGAAAGGTCCGTTCATTTTGAACGAATCACTCGCGAACGACACATCACTAATGGGCAGGGGGTTTTTTTTGCGATGAACCTTTCGCTGTAAGCTTAACATAACTCCTTTTTTTATGAACTAAAGATTGTGTAATTCCCAGACGTCAGAGAGGAATTTCATTTCTAAAAGACTTTTCGTGGTTCACCTTACGGCCTAATAGTATTTAAATACCTGGGGGTGTGGGTTGGGGGGGGGGCATGAAAACATTTCCGTCCCCAAAAGGGGGGATGATAATTAGAAAATAATTAGGAACTACTGGAATAGATCAAGGAAAAGGCTAGGGTTAGGTAAAAGATGCAAAATGGCATGTCAGAAAGACTAAACAGTAAATAAAAAAAAACTTTAAATAAGTAACAGGAATTGAATGTGTCTCCTAGATTCACTTGAAAGAATTAAATTATATATGGTTTTTTTTTCTTCTTCATTATGCTTTGGATTTATACTCCGGAGCAAGTAATAGTCGAGAAATTACGGTAATCATTTTCTTTTTTTTTTCTCATTTTCCATTTTTTTTTCATGGGTTTTCAGAGACACATAGGGACCCTGTTGGAGTGCATTATAATTTTTCTTTTTTTTTTTAATTGTACTTTATTGATCCCACACTGGAGAAACTGTTGCGATAAAATCAGATTGGCTGCAACAGGCTGCCCTAACGGATCAAGTATGTGGTCCCGCTACTGGCTCGAACCCAGGATTTTCTGCGCGTAAGGCAGGCGTGTAAGCAGGTGTCACTTCTGTAAAGGGAAAAGCCTTCTAATTGGGTGTGCTCACTTCCGGTCACCCTGCTTTAATTGAACTACTACTACCACGTGATCTTTACATACGTGTAAAGTGCACACCTGAATGCCAGTAATTCCTTTCAATACGGTTTGTGTGGTTTGGGAGTACACAGTACGTACCTTTTGTTTTTTTTCCAGAAGTAACATATGAGGAAGACGAGCAGCACTGAAGTGAAGGTGCCCAGTGCTGCACCAAGTTGGATCCAAAACTCCATTCCATTGCATGCTAAGGTTTTCTTCTCAGGAATTGCCACACCACCCGTGCAGAGTTTAGGTTCGTTCCACATGTACAACAAGTCCTGATGAGTAACACACATACATATTTGCTATTATGTCCAATCTGTGAATGAGCATGAATGTATGTCGTACCAAAGCCATCAAATAAACTGGCCAAGCATATCACTCATAAATCTGACAAATCTAACATTACAAACTAATGTTGTTTATGGTAATGGTTCTCAAAGTTAATACCACAACCATGAGAAGGGAATCACTCAAAGTTAATACCACAACCATGAGAAAGGCAAGCAATCACAGTGGTGTTGCAGAGTTGTCTATATTTCAGACTTAATATGCATCGAATACAAAGAAAGAAGGTTAAAAAACAAAACATTTTTGATAATTTGATGTTTGTTACATAACTGAAACATACCATTTTCAATCTACCCAATTATTATTATTATTATGATTATGATTATGATTATGATTATTATTATTATTATCACTGTTGTTATTATTATTATTATTATTACCTGTGGATTTCCTACGTTATTATAACAATGGTTGATGATATGAATATGTACATATATTTATATGTATCACATATATATATATATATATGTATCTTATATATATGTACAAATATATATTATATATATATTATATTATATATGTATATATATGTATGCATATATGTATACATATGTATGTATATATGTATACATATATATGTATATATATATGCATAATAAGTAACAACAATATGAATTATAACAGTCCCCAATATTATCGGGTTTAATTACACAAAGCCTATTAGAAATAAACTAAAAAAAGGGTTATGGCGACACAGGCAGATTAACCCCACTAGAACAAAAGCCCCCTATAGTGTTGCATTAATTGTAACACGCACCTGTTGCCCTCCTTTGCATGCTCCTTCTATCTGATGAAAATCTTGTTCTTTGCACGTCGGGCAGGCACCTGAGCTCTCCCATAGGAACTGGTATGTGCAGCCGTCACAGGTTCCTGCAGGGCACTGACTGTAAGAGTCAAGAACACAACACAACAA